AGAACTTTTTCAGCATCAGATGTCAATAAGTAGAACAGGTTAGTCGTTGAAGCTAATTCGATTCAAAGTTTTAAATGTAAATATGATAAATGTGTGAGAAATGAGTCAGTGAATTAATCTAAAAACGTTTGGAAGGCGGGACCCGGAGCCTAGCTCAACCGTCGGAGCACATCTAGGTAAGTACACACACGCACACGCCGACAGTCATATACCAACGCCAAATTCAGACGTAATTTGTAAGAGAACAGGTCACAGACGACGTTCGAACCTTCACTGACGATCTGTCCTTGAGGACGGGTTGTGGGAACATGTCGAGGACGGGTTGTGGGAGTAGTGGGTGAAGTGTTCCTTACTTAAAGGGGTTTGCCGGCTGGTTTGACGAGCATTTGACCACTGTGTGGGGACGGACTGGTCAGAGGGCACCAGCGTTCCTGCCAAACATTTGTGTCCACAGTTCAAGTCAAATCTTATTTGACGTTCATTTATAAACAGAGGCCGGAGGAGCTAACCAAGTCACGGTGAAACTTTCATCGTCTTGATTGTTGTTGGCTAATGATTCCCCCCTCCACCCCCCCCCCGGTGGTCAGGAGACACCCCTTCCCTTAGACGGTGAGGGGGGGGGGGAGGGTGTTGGCCCCCCCCATTGACGGTGAGGGGGGGTTTTGGCCCCCCCTTAGACGGTGAGGGGGTGTTGACCCCCCATTGACGGTGAGGGGGGGGGGGTTGTTGGCCCCCCCATAGACGGTGAGGGGGGGGGGGTGTTGGACCCCCCTCATAGACGGTGAGGGGGGTTGTTGGTCCCCCCCCCCTTAGACGGTGAGGGGGGGGGGGTGTTGGCCCCCCCTTAGACGGTGAGGGGGGGGGGGTGTTGGCCCCCCCTTAGACGGTGAGGGGGGGGGTGTTGGCCCCCCCTTAGACGGTGAGAGGGGGTGTTGGCCCCCCCTTAGACGGTGAGAGGGGGTGTTGGCCCCCCCTTAGACGGTGAGGGGGGTTGTGGCCCCCTTAGACGGTGAGGGGGGTGTTGGCCCCCCTTAGACGGTGAGGGGGGTGTTGGCCCCCCCTTAGACGGTGAGGGGGGGTGGTGACCCCTTACCGCCCCTAAAGCTGTGGTTTGAGAGTTTTTGACTGTTGCCGCCGGAGGTGGCTAGATTATTGTGCACCCCATACTCATCAGTAGTGGAATATGGCCCAAGTCGTGTCCGTTTTGCTTTTCCTGCGGGACACGACTTGGGGCCCGTCTTTTACCTTACCTCAGTTATGCTTCCAAGTTCGTTCTTATGTTATTTATATTTATATGGCACATCCAAGGATGGTTTATTGAGCATAGAAATTAATGAAATCTACTATTCATTTCGTATGAAACAAGGGGGAGGAACACAGAGCATGAACTTTCATGTATCTCAGCGTTCATCCCTGTTACCGAATTAGTATTTACCCAGGTCTTTTTTCCTAAAATCCTAAACTTATCTAATTTATACCCATTGTTTCGTGTTCTGTCTCATGTTTATAGTATTAATAGCCTATTAATATCCCCCTTTGACATGTCCATTCACTCACACCTCTATCGTGTCATCCCTATTTCTTCGCCTTTCTAGAGAATGTAATTTAAGCTTTGTCAATCTTTCTTCAAGGATCGTTTATCGAGCATAGGGAGACTTCAACAGGGGTTTCAATAGTAACCCAATAATTTTTCAAAACAGGCTATACGAACACTCAGACATTTTCATTTAATTCCTCCTTCACTGCTAGTTCTATGTACGTCTCTCAGTCGCTCAAAAACATGCCCCCACACACTACTGCAGCATATATCAAATCAAAACACTCATTCAGTGTACATATGTATATATATATGAACTTCAATGAGTAAAAGCTACCTCTCATGTTTTTGAAATACGGCCTTCTGCAGTTATCTTCACTAAGGTCTTCATCCCTAATGCGGTCCGAACCACCAATGAGTGCAAAGCTTTTAGTACATGCGGTTCCTAAGAGGTTCACACATTAGTGCAATCTCTTAATCGCTCTCAATACCTCGACTGTACTGTGTTTCATCAGAGACGAAATTCGGATGCTTTTGCTCGTATTTTTTCGCTCATGTTTTGTTATTCACTTCATAAACCTTACCGAACCAACCTAACCTATTATAGAACAAAAACAGTACATTTCCAGACTCGTTGTTTAGCTGCGTCACGAAAAGTGATCTATCAGTATAGGGATAGAGTATTAGCTCCCATTAACAATTTTTTTTTTATTTTTTTTTATTTTTACATGCGAATAAATACAATACAATAAATACAATAAAATAATAAACCAATAACAGACAAAAAATACAAAAGCACAAAACAAATTAATACAAAGTAACAAATACACTAAATACCGGCCTGAAGGGCCGACAACAAAAACACAACAATGAGCATAAATACAATGAAACAACACCGGACAGAAGGGTAACGGAAATATAATAAATACAACAAAACAACGGTCATGAAAACACAACACCGGCCTGAAGGGCGCACAATAGGTACAACACATTGTAACAAACCACAGGTCACAGCAAGCTCACAGACTACTCAAATTGTTCATACTTATCCGGCCACTCCGCCGCCGGGAATCGAACACAATACGCCTCCCACAGTAACATGGATGTCATCCGGAACAGGTTCCTTATTAACAGTACGAGGATCAGGCATCAACTCTGGCACACCCACAACAAAACACCGAGCCCGCTGTACCCAGATGGAAGAAGGGCACCACGGGAACAGGATGCACGCGGTCAACAATGTCAAACCGCAAAGGATGCTGATCATCATGCGCCACGCCGGAGACCAAGACGAGAGGGAGGGGCTCCTTCCCACGAGGCCGGGCAATGGGCAGCGCACTGGGAGCCTCCTCGGCTGCCTCACAGGGCCCCGCGTCAACCACCGGACGTTGCATCTGCAGGGACCCCCCACGCTTGGCATCCTTCTTCAGTACCAGCTTGAGGCCTCGGCTCGCACCAGAACTCTCACCATCCACGTCTGTAGGAGCGACCACCACCCACTGCGGAGAACCTTCTGCAGGAGAAAGAACAGGAGGTAAATCATACGTACAACCATTGTCAACAGCTGACACATGGACGTCAGCCACCACCAGCGTCGTAGAACGCGAAGCACCCGGAACCGCCACATCATCGCCCGAAGCTCCACCTGTGCCGAAGTTCTCCACATTAGCCCAAGGAGTTGAAGAACGCCTGGAACGCTTGGGCACCGGCCGCACATCCTCACTGCCGGAGGCGGATCCAGAACCACGGGCCTCACAAACCGTGCGAACCGACGCCCGTCGCAGTACGGCAGCAGCCTCAACCACATGGGGAACCGGGCCGCACACTACAGGATGTTCCCAGCACCCAGCACAGCCGTAACACCTGGCGAGGGCTCAGGGCCACGCACAGCAGCAGGAGACGAGGAAGATGTAGACGACTCGCAGAGACCACCCGGAAGACCCTCGGGAGCAACAGGCACAGCGAATTGACCAGCGACAGGAGCCACCGGAACACCCGGAGGAGGGACAACAACCACCGGGGGCATGTCGGGTGACACAGGCGGGGGGGGGGGGGCCATCAGCAGTGAACGGGACCTGCCCCTCTTCATCTCTAGAATCCACGCTCTGAGGGAGCGGCGGGAAATCCTCTTCCCGGAACAAGTTAACAGGTGCAGCATGGGCCTCAGAGCACCCGGCAGCCTGATGCCCTAACTGGCCACAACGGAAACAGGTACGGGGCTGCCGGGCATAATACACCCGAACGTAGTAACCCAGCAGCCGGACAGAAGATGGGATATCCGACCGCAGGCGCATACCTAAGGTACGGATGTTCGTCAGTTTCCCAGCATACTTCCCCGATGAAAGCGAGTTCACCAGATGGGCAATGCGGCGTTGGTGTCCTACTTGCATATTTACTGTATTTGATATTATTAAAAAATGGCTATACTATCCATCCTCACCTAACCTAACTTAATCAGAGGTTTGAGAATATATATTTCAGTCATTGTCATACATATATCGCCTCCACATCAAGACCCGTCTCCCTCACCTGGCGACAGCGGACTCGACTCCGGTGCGCCTTACACACTAAATCTATACAGAATACAAGAAAGATACGACTTACGTGTCCACCAAACAAGGCATCCTCGACCCCGACCCAGGTCTGGGTTCAGGCTTGGAGTGATCTTGGTACACGTCCGTCCCCACCACCTCGCCCCCTCACACTGCTGGTTTGGCCCGAGGAAGATGGCAGGGCTAACGGGTGGTTCCCGTTACTGCTTGTTTTCCTTACCATTATAATATAATTTAAAATTTTCTGTATATAGAAAACTAATAAATGTTGGATCTTATGCACACTTTTACTCATCTCATCATCAGAGTAAAGCAAGCTGTATTTTCTTAGATCTTTCTGAGAGCTCTAAGGATATGCGGTCCTGAGTTTATAGGTGACGAAACTAGTGCCATATATAGTCTAGGTATCAACTTAAAACACCCTAAGTCATTTATTTATTAAAGTCAGTCAAGTTGCTCGTAACACTTTCTTCAGTTGGAATAAAGAAAGAAGAATTCAATATTAAGAACACAATAATTCTGCCATTTAATCATAACCTGAATGAAACTCCGAACAATTTAATATCAACGTAGCATTTATATATCTTGACATCATAACAAGTTCTGTGTTGACCAAACAGGTAAACCTCTTGACCAGATAATAAAAGAACATAAATATAGTATAAGAACAGGTCAGGAGTCTGAAGCAATTGATGAATGTTCTCCCCATACTTATGTTGCGAGTTAACTTTATACTGTTAGTGTCCAGGACACATAAAGAGTGCCGAGGACACAGTGTTTGGAGGACACATACAGTATGTGGAGGATAAATGACGTGTGTAGAGGACACATACAGTGTGTGTAGAAGACACATACAATGTGTGCGGGGACCAAAAGAATTACGTAATTGGGTCTTTAAATGAAATTCCAGCATTTGTTCTCACTTTATTGAAGCACTCGGGTAGTTGGGCCAACACTGGTGGTCCGGCCAAGAAGGACATATCTCCTTAACATTAAACTACCACAAAATATTCTCGTTTTCGTTGTTACTGAAATTAACTTTTGTTTTATGCCTTTTATGTCCCGTTCCGGCGTACAGTGATTGGTGGCGTTTATACCGTTACGTTATATACATGACGCAATTAGAAGTGATGCGTTGATGTGATTGGTTCAGCTGTACTTTACCTGTGATTGTTTCAAGTGTTTATTCGACAGGTAAAGGATTGAAGCAAGCAGCCACCCAACTGGTCAACCAAGGGGTCAACCAAGGGGTCAACCAAGTGGTTAACCAAGTGGGTCAACCAACTGGTTCACCCAGTGGCTAAGCAAGTGATCGATCAACAGGTCAACCACAGTCAACCAAGTGGTTAACCAAGTGGGTCAACCAACTGGTTCACCCAGTGGCTAAGCAAGTGATCGATCAACAGGTCAACCACAGTCAACCAAGTGGTGAATCACAGTCAACCAAGAAGTCAACATCAGTCAACCACTATCAACAGTCAACCACTATTAACCACAGTCAACCACTTTCAACCACTATCAACCACAGTCAACCACTATCAACCACAGTCAACCCATCAATAAACTTGTCTTATAATTGCACCGTCATTAATTCCCTAATTAATCAGTTCTAAATTGATTCATTTCATTACAAACATTTACCTGTGAAGCCAGAGTCCCTAAGACACACTCCCTAAGATACGCCAACCACAGCGGACCAACACTGGGTTGTTGTGGTTGTTGTGGTTGAGTGGTTGTGTGGTTGTTGTGGCTCCTGTGGTGATTGTGAGTTGTGTTATAATTATGTAAATGATTCTTGATTATTTTGGTTAACTCGTTGATGCGACCAATATTCTTGTCTCTAGTCATATTGTTGTAATTGCAGATGATAATTGTGGTTGATGTTGTCGTCTTCGTATATTGGGTTCAATCGTGATTGTGTGTTGTGATTCGACGGAACCGTACGGTTGTTAAGACTGCATCGTGACCAGTGTTGCTGTAATAACAGTTTGGAGTGGATTCCATGTGATTGTTATTGTTGTGTGGTTGTGAGTGTTGTGGAGGCGAGTCAGTGTGGTTGTGGAGGCGAGCCAGAGTGAGCTGTTGTGGTTGTCATCAACATCGCCACTAAACCTTTAGTTACAACCTCGACGCTCGCTTAAATAACACGGGAATAATATACAATCTTAAACATATACATACATACATGTATACATAAACATCACTTCATATACATTGGTATATGTGTATGTATGCGTGCGTGTGTGTGAGCCCATACGCACGTTTACATACACCAAGACCTTCAACTGACAATATACAACGCTTTAACCTACTGGTTCACATCGGGTAAGTACACAGTGGTACCAACCTATGATAATGTACACACACCTATACTTACAGTAGTAATAAGCTTGGGGGAGTCGTCAGGCTTGCAGGCCTGGGAATTAATGTGTGAGGTTGGCTGGCCTGGAGGCAGTGCGTGAGGTTGGCAGACTTGGGAGGTAGTATGTAAGGTTGCAGTCCTAGGGAGTTAAGTAGGTGAAATTGGTAGGCCTGGGGGAGCAGCATATGATGGTGGTGAACCTGGGGGATAGTGTGATGTTGGCAGCCATGGGGGATAGTGTGCGAGGTTGACAGACCTGAGAGTTGTGTGTTAGGTTGAGAGGCCTGTGAGTTTTTTGTGAGGTTGGTAGGCCTGCAAGTTGATTGTGAGGTTGGCAGGCCTGTGAACTGTCTATATGATTGATAGACCTGAGTTGTGTGTAAGATAAGGAAGTTCCGTGAGGCTGGCACACCTTACATTTGTATGTGAGAGTGTGTGGTGCCTGGGGGATTGTGTGCTTGAGACCTGGAGGGTGTGTGTGTGTGTGTCAGGTTGGCAAGCCTGAGATTTCGTGCGAGGTTGGCAAGGCTGGGAAATGTGTGAGATTTTTATGACATTCTTAGGAGAAACAAGCCCTGGAATTTTGTGAGGTTGGCAGGCCTGCGGGGTTGTGAGGTTGGCAGACCTGCCGAGTAATAAGGTTGGCAGTATATGAGTGATTGTGAGGTTGGTGGTCTATGAAGGTCATCGTTCTTGTAAACTCGCATTAACGTGAAGATTGGAGGGATTAGGAACGCTGGATACAATCTGGGATATTCTGTGGCTAGGAGAGGCTGAGAGTGCTGGGATGTAGCATGTCTGGTGGTTAGAACGGGCTAGGAGTGCTAGACCCTTACTAAGATGTCTTGTGGTTAGGAAATGCCTGGAGTGCTGGGTTTTAAATTTCTAGTTGAGGCTAGTAGTGCTGAATATCCCCAAGGATGGCCATTAGCTAGGACAGAAGAGGAGTTTCAGCTAGCCTGCTAGGAGACAGGCAGAGACCTATACTACCAGTGTTAGGCAAGCTACGAGGAGATTTCACTGGGAGACGCTTGTGTTGTCTCTAGCAGCTGTCAGGGCTACCAACTGTCTCACAGCCGAGCATCAGGGCTACCAACTGTCTCACAGCCGAGCATCAGGGCTACCAACTGTCTCACAGCCGAGCATCAGGGCTACCAACTGTCTCACAGCCGAGCATCAGGGCTACCAACTGTCTCAGCCGAGCATCAGGGCTACCAACTGTCTCACAGCGGAGCATCAGGGCTACCAACTGTCTCACAGCGGAGCATCAGGGCTACCAACTGTCTCACAGCGGAGCATCAGGGCTACCAACTGTCTCACAGCGGAGCATCAGGGCTACCAACTGTCTCAGCCGAGCATCAGGGCTACCAACTGTCTCACAGCCGAGCATCAGGGCTACCAACTGTCTCACAGCCGAGCATCAGGGCTACCAACTGTCTCAGCCGAGCATCAGGGCTACCAACTGTCTCACAGCCGAGCATCAGGGCTACCAACTGTCTCACAGCCGAGCATCAGGGCTACCAACTGTCTCAGCCGAGCATCAGGGCTACCAACTGTCTCAGCCGAGCATCAGGGCTACCAACTGTCTCAGCCGAGCATCAGGGCTACCAACTGTCTCACAGCGGAGCATCAGGGCTACTAACTCTCACGGCGGAGCATCAGGGCTACCAACTGTCTCACAGCGGAGCATCAGGGCTACCAACTGTCTCACAGCGGAGCATCAGGGCTACCAACTGTCTCACAGCGGAGCATCAGGGCTACCAACTGTCTCACAGCCGAGCATCAGGGCTACCAACTGTCTCACAGCGGAGCATCAGGGCTACCAACTGTCTCAGCGGAGCATCAGGGCTACCAACTGTCTCACAGCCGAGCATCAGGGCTACCAACTGTCTCACAGCGGAGCATCAGGGCTACCAACTGTCTCACAGCGGATCAACAGTGTGCGGCTGTCACTCTTCACAAGTTTTCCAGTTGCTTCTCAAAGTGCTATAATGCCTCGACCTGCTTCTAAGAGTTAACAATGCCTCGCACATGGTTCTGAGTGGTGGACGGTCTTCCAACTGCCTCTCAGCATGCCGCAAGGGCTTCCACCTCTCGCTAAAAGTGCCACATGTTCTCACAAAGTGCCAGCCACTAACTGTAGCAGAAAAAGAGTAGAGTGACAACAGTTACTAACAGAAGCACCGTAAACTAATCTAAATTCATTTGGAGGAAATTTAAACCCTGGCAGTACATGCAGGCTTCCCTCTACCCGTCAATGCCTTAGTCATGGAGTCATTCACTCGTCCATGTTTCTGTCGCTAAACAAAGACATCTTTCCGCCATTTATTCTAGTGGTTAGCGAAGACTTCCTCGCCCAGATGTGCCTTTCATGTCCACGAAAGCTTTACTTGCTTATCAGTGCATATGTCAATTATTATCAACACCTGCGGTGCGGCACCTGCACACTAGTGGCACCATCCCGCCAGCGGCACGCCTCCATTAGTCGCAGCTGTCCATCAGGGCCACCTGTCCATCAGGGCCACCTGCCCCTCAAGAGAGGGACGGGCAGAAGGGCGAGAGGAGACCACCAGACGGGTCCAGGACTGCCGTTCACTGGAAGAGATAAGAACTATTAATGGTGCTCACTGGAGGGTTGTGTGTGTGTGTTCTGACCTGACTGTCACCCCTGCTGCTGGGCACCAGGCGGACCTCTGCCACTTGGGCTCCCTGCGTTAGGTACCCCACAAGCCCTACGCTCCAGCTACACTGAAATAACACATTACGAAAAACCGAAAGAACACATAATGAAGCACCAGGGTGAACACCTAATGAAGCACCAGGGTGAACACATAATGAAGCACCAGCCAGAGTGAACACACCATGCAGCACCAGCCAGAGTGCACAAGAGACTAGACAAAAGTCAGAGAGTGAGAGGTGACCCACCGCTGATCTGAGAGTCCCGCTGCTCCAGCACAATGGGCTGCAGCTTGCGGCCCTCCAGCTGCAGGAAGTCGTGGTCGCTGCGGGTGTAGAGCGCCGCCACGGTGGCCGTGCACCTTAACATGATCACGCCGCGGGCGAAGTGTTCGTCCCGCAGCCGCAGCCGCACCTCCAGCCGCGACGTCTCCAGCCCGTCTTGGTGCTGCACCGGCGCGTACGAGAACGTGTACTTCCGTGGTACCTGTGGAGTACAGCAGGGGTCAGTGAGGCACCTGTGGAGTACAGCAGGGGTCAGTGAGGTGAGTCAGGGAGGGTGAGGGTGGACCAGGGTGAGTCAGGGAGGGTGAGGGTGGACCAGGGTGAGTCAGGGAGGGTGAGGGTGGACCAGGGTGAGTCAGGGAGGGTGGACCAGGGTGAGTCAGGGAGGGTGAGGGTGGACCAGGGTGAGTCAGGGAGGGTGAGGGTGGACCAGGGTGAGTCAGGGAGGGTGAGGGTGGACCAGGGTGAGTCAGGGAGGGTGAGGGTGGACCAGGGTGAGTCAGGGAGGGTGAGGGTGGACCAGGGTGAGTCAGGGAGGGTGAGGGAGGACCAGGGCGAGTCAGGGAGGGTGAGGGAGGACCAGGGTGAGTCAGGGAGGGTGAGGGTGGACCAGGGTGAGTCAGGGAGGGTGAGGGAGGACCAATAGTAATAGAGAGGGAAACCTTCAGAACTCTTGCGCTACTTTGTATCGGTGTTCGGCCCTTGTCGATATTTATGTCCCTGTGTCTCTCTCTCTCTCTGTCTGAGAGAGAGAGAGAGAGAGAGAGAGAGAGAGAGAGAGAGAGAGAGAGAGAGAGAGAGAGAGAGAGAGAGAGAGAGAGAGAGAGAGAGAGAGAGAGAGAGAGAGAGAGAGAGAGAGAGAGAGAGAGAGAGAGAGAGAGAGAGAGAGAGAGAGAGAGAGAGAGAGAGAGAGAGAGAGAGAGAGAGAGACAGAGAGAAAGAGAGAGTTATACTGTGTGAACATGGTGTAAGCTAACAGCTGTTATCCTACATCAGCTGGTGATTAGCCTGACCCTAGACACTGAACTGTTTAGTAATAATTGTTCCCTTTCATCATGTATAAATGTTATTTAATGCTTTCATACAATAGTATTTAGTTCAGGATGAAGCTGGAAGAGCCTTCATATAGTCCACTGACTGGCTTTCACTCTTATCTACGTGTGGTTGCAATTACAGGTTGTTATTGCAACTTATAACAGGATGCAAATACCTAGCTTACGAATGCATGATCACTGATAGTGGTTAGCACAACTAGTATTAGGCTGCTGATAGCTGAGCGCCTTGTGTTATAGTTGCCGTTCATCCTATAGTTGTTCTCGGTCATAAGGATCGAGAACAGAGATGAGTTGTCTTGGAAACTTTCTGATCTTGTCGAGAATTGAGATGCAGCGCCGTGTGAGATATGGAGGGAAGGGGCGGGCTGTACCTCCAATACACCAATGTACATTCACGATGGCATCCAAGTTGTGCTTCACATAAGGGTTTTGATGCCAGCAGGCACGAGATCCTCCCTCTTCTTGAACGCATCTTGGCTGCCTCTGCTTGCTGGGTTCCACACGTGTCTCTATATGCTCACTGACGAGTCAAGCTTCATTTTCAAGACGTAAATATGATCACGAAGCCGCTCAAGTGTTTGCTGGCCTGCCGTATGCTTCTGCCAATATTACGCGATGTAAAAACATCAGCTGGTGTGTTTGTTGACCAACAGTAACTTGCCGCCACCCACCACAGCTGAATAGTGCTGTAAGATGCCGGTCAACTATTTACCAACAGCCAGCATCACGTCTCTTGTACATGGAAAGGTTAGCGTGCAGTGCAGACGAGGAGTCACAATAACGTGGCTGAAAAATGTTGACCAAACCACACACTAGAAACTGAAGCGACGACGACGTTTCGGTCCGCCCTGGACCATTCTCAAGTCGATTCTGACATGACTCGATAATGTCAATTCGATTGTCACTTGATAATGTCACAATCGACTTGATAATGGTCCAAGACGGACCGAATCGTCGTCGTCTCTTCAGTTTCTAGTGTGCGGTCTGGTCAACGTTAGCGTGCAGTTATCAGCAGAAGAGGAGGAGAAGTCTGTCATTGAAGTCGAGGATGCAGAAGCAGGGGGGCCAGGCACAGTGCCCTGTGAGACACTGCCACCAACTGAGTGCCTCTCACACTCCATTATGGCCTACCCTTATACGTCCCTTCTTGAAGGCAGCCGTCTTTAGGTACAGCATAGTGTGAGGCACCCAGTAGTTGAGGCTTACCTTACAGTGCCAGCTGACCTTACAGGCTGCCTTGGGTCCCCTCCTCTCTCTCTCTCTCTCTCTCTCTCTCTCTCTCTCTCTCTCTCTCTCTCTCTCTCTCTCTCTCTCTCTCTCTCTCTCTCTCTCTCTCTCTCTCTCTCTCTCTCTCTCTCTCTCTCTCTCTCTCAGAAGGTGAAGAACAAGGCATTTCCATCAGAGAGGGTAAAAAAGAAGAGAGAGCGTGCTGGAGTAAGAAAGTGAGGTGGAGAGAGAGAGGGAGAGAGAGAGAGAGAGAGAGAGAGAGAGAGAGAGAGAGAGAGAGAGAGAGAGAGAGAGAGAGAGAGAGAGAGAGAGAGAGAGAGAGAGAGAGAGACAGGCCAGGTGCCACCACTCACACACAACCGACACTCTCGACAACACCAACTATATTTCATTGGTTACTCCCTCCTTCTGGCGGTGGTGGTAGTTGTGGTAGGGAGAGAGAGAGAGAGAGAGAGAGAGAGAGAGAGAGAGAGAGAGAGAGAGAGAGAGAGAGAGAGAGAGAGAGAGAGAACATCCGCCACAGGAGACCACAGCCCCTGCTATCAAATGCCATCCACCTCACACATCCATGTGTGAGGTGGATGGCTGTCCATATCCAGCCTTCCATGACAGCCCTGACTCGCTGATGGTTCCAGCCCTACCCCTGTCCCCTCACCCCTCACCTCGTTACCGTTGAGGTGCCAGGTGAGGGTGGCCGCCGGGTGTGACCTCCCCGCCGTACAGTTGGCACGAAGCAGGTCTCCGCTGACGTACTTCTCCGCCACGCCGCTGATCTGGGGCGCCGTGGTGGGCAGCTCTGGGGAGAGGGAGGAGAGGGGGCGTTACTGCAAGGGGGAGAGAGACGCTTGTCAACCAACTGTCAGCAATAGCGTGTCAGGAAGAGTGTCAGCAAGGGTGGCAGCATCAGGAGGGTTGTCAGTAAGGGTGTCAGCAGGAAGCAAAGCTGTTGGATCGTTTGATTTACTGGTGTAATCTGCTTATGCTCTTGTGGGAGGGAGGGAGGGAGGGAGGGGACACTTGGCAAATTAGTTTAAGAACATCTTTTTGGAAGGGTTTGTATTTAATGTGTGTGTGTGTGTGTGTGTGTGTGTGTGTGTGTGTGTGTGTGTGTGTGTGTGTGTGTGTGTGTGTTTTGTTTCTCATTTCGATGCGCTTGATATGTCGAGCGTTAGTTCCTAAGTCCTGGTTTGTAATGTACCTTTCCGAAGTATTTTTGACATTCTATATTCACTAATGCTACTCGAGGTCATATTTGAATTGTCATTTGTCTTACTACTTGCTATTCCAGCTCATTATCAATTACCTGGTGCACTTCCCCGAGTTCCGCCGTCAGTTTCATCTGCTCATACGCACGGCAAAAGCGACGAACTGAATTACAAAACTCCTGCCAATAGCCAAAACAAATGCAAGAGGCATCACCTGATTGGATCATCTTTGTTTACTTAATCAGCTGGTGCGCGCGCCGGGGGGCCGGTTTGTTTACAGAGGATCAGCTGATAGAAATGGAGAGAAGAACGAACCTGAGTAGAGGAAAAGTTGAATATTCTCATAAACTGATGTTAGTCGCTGGTATTTAACGCACCAGTAACAAGCTGAGTGATCAAGCTCCGGGTCCTGGGCTGCCCTCAACAACATCTATATAACAACACTTCTTTAATGAAGTAAATGTTGCCATTATAGCAGGTCTTTATCTAACGTATACTGGGCAAGTTGCAGGTAACAGATGTTCACAAAGGTTGAAATTATGGATTTATTCAAGGAAAGTTATAGAGTGGGTTTGTAGCAACACTCACACGTGTCTATATAAGGTCGCACACCTGTCACGGGACAACAGTCACACTAACAGTACTATAATGATCCCTGGGGTACAAGACTGTGAGGTCTGGCACCAAGCGGTGTTCTGGGTGACGTTAATGCAACCCGTCATCGACTCAAGTCCATTCCATCCAACGGTCGACCACCTACAGACGCATTCATAATTTTTGACATGCTGTTCATTCAAAACGGAAATTTTTTCAAATATTAATTAATATTATAATAGCATATTGTGCATATATAGGCATAGGTTAGGTTAGGTGTTTAGGTTCTATTGGCGATTATTTGTATTTGTAGTACGTGGGTGAAGCATTTACAGCGTTGTGGTGCGAACAAAATTTGTCAGTAAAGCACTTGTTCCGGAAGTGTTCGAACCTCATAAGTTGTCAGTCGTGTGTAAACCGCTTTTCATTCATAAACAGGGGGTTTGGCGGGTGCATGGAATCACTTTTGGGTCTTTGTTTGGAGGACGGTCTGCCTTAATGGCTCTCGAAGGTTCACAAGCCTTGGCTCCAAAACAAACCAAACCGAACTAGTTCTATAACATAATAGTTCTTTACTGTAGTTCTATATTAGTTGTATAGTGTACACAGAGCTTTTTAAAGTGTGAATGATGTTTAGGGCCAAGGAATGCTTGCTGTTAGTAAGCCTTGAACGCAAGACCAAACGTTACTAACAAGGCGGACAAATGTAGAGTTAAAGTTATGAATATAAACGGGAGTCTCCCATTAAGAACATAGAGTGGGTTAAACCCAAACAATATAATGGGTTGATTAACCGTAGGTTTATTAATATAGGGCAGACCGAGGTCCAACTGGGTCACATGTTACAACCGCTCCAGTGTTGATGGCCGCCACAGAAAACGGAGTGGGGTAAACTGAGGTATTTACACTGTCTGCCGCCTCGCGTCGCTGAACGCACATTTTCCAGCGGCGCCAGTGTGCAAGTTTACCCAGGCTTGCCGGGGAGCCAGCAGGTGTGTAGCGGGCCGTGTGACGAGACTGGCCGGGGGAGCCAGCAGGTGTGTAGTGGCTCAGCAATGAAGCCAAAGCGCTGAGAACACTCACCACACTTGGCGAGTCTCAGGCTCTCGTGAGACGCTCCAGCAGGGCGGCGGCGGCCTTGGCGCCCGCCAGATGCTGGCGGTGAAGAATTAGTCATCACAGTGCCAGCCTTCCTAACCAGCACCAGACCTAATTTCTTGATGAATAATCAGACAAAACTCGACTCAAGAAAACATCCGCCAGCATGCTCCACCCCCTGACCCACTCTGCCTCCTCCAACCCACCACTCTTCCACCCCTCCCACCGCCCTCTCAGCGCCCCCTCCCAGCACCCCTTCCACCGCCCCCCACCCACCGCCCCCCTCCCCCCCACCATAATCTTCTCTTAGCGACTTCGCTGGGGTTAAAAACAAGTTAAAATGTGGGCAAAAAAGGAGAGGGGGAAAGTTTTGTGAAGGGAGCGGCTCCGTCACACAACTTAAGCGGGG